CTGGGGTGGAGATCATCCGGACCCGCTGACTTGAACGCGTCCAGCCCCTCCAGAAGCTCTCTAACCCGGTCCTCCCCAACCTGAGGTCTAAAGGCAATCCCCTCGAGTCCGGCTTCTATCACAGCAGGGAAGTCCCGGTCCCTGCACAAGAAAACGGAGGTGAAGTATAAGAAATCTACTTATAGATGGCCACCAAGTCCCCCCTCAGTCTTCTCTTCCCCCGGCTGAACAGTCTCAGATCCCTTACTCTTTCCTCACAAGGTTTGTCCACCAGGCCCTTAATCATTCTTGTGGCCCAAGATTGTCCACATCTTTTTTGAAGTGTGGCACCCAGAACTGGACCCAGTACTCCAGCTCACTCTCACCAGCGCCAGGTAGAAAGGAAATATCACTTCCTTAGCCCTGCTCCTGATGCATCTGTTAACGCATCCCATGTGCTATTAGCTCTGTTGACAGCATTGCCCTGGCTGCTCACGTTCATCCTCTGAACATGAAGGTGTGTGGGGGGATGTTTTTGTGGTGGGGCTGCTACCCCCTGGGAGGTGGGTGAGACAACATTCACCTGGCTTCTGAGTCTGGAGAACTTTAATGTAGGATGTGTGGGAGGTTGACAGACAACACTGGTCACATTCTTGACAAGACCTGTTGGGAGAGTGGGTGCATTTGTCCCCTTTAGGCTGGCTCACTGCCATGGTTTTTTTAGAGACCGCTCAACAGCATACAGAAGCGGATCCCATGAACTCATCTCTTTGGCATGTGACACTTGCTGTTTACCTTAGGGATAGGTAGAGCCTTTTGAAGTCTGACTGCTGTCCCTGCCAGGTGTTTGCCAGACAGTTGATGACAACCGGGATGATATCATGGAGGAGGCATGTACAGGGGTAGCCCCTGCAGCTGCAATTTGGTGAGTTTTAGGTTGTAGCATGTGTGTATCACCCCAGCCTCCAGCATGGCAGTCTAGGGACGGGCTTGATTCTACGGTCCTTAGTGCCTTAAATACAGCTGGAATGATACAGATTGTGTCTGAATGCACCCTTTTTGGCTTCAGTTTTTATAGGACCGCGGCAATGGTTCCATTGGTTAATTATCAATGTGAATGTGAAGTTTGATTAGAATCCTTGAATATTTAAGCTTGAACTTCCCAGTTTGTATGCCATAGCCGTACACAGACACGCCTACTGCAAAAGTGCAGAGGAGCCCAAAGGTTGACAAGACCTGCAGAAACAACCAGAGCAAAGGGGGCTCGGAGGGGTGTGTGTTCCTGGCCAATTCTCCTTGTTCTGCCTAGGTTCTCAGTAGTTTATAATCTGGTTGAGGCAGTAGTGTTTGTATATAATTAAAGCTGATTTCAGTTTGACTGTCTATGGGAAATCAGCAAAAACCGGTTTTGCTTCAGAGGCTTAGTAATTAAGTGGGGCTGCCTTGCATCATTGGATGACCTTAAGTTAATGAAAGGAACCTTTGTTACGGGTTTCTTTTTCTTTATGTTCTCAATCTTTAGAGCTTGTGGCCTACCCTTCCTGTTCTCTTGTTCTCCAAGCAAGGGGGACTTTTTATTATGTTTTTGCCACTTGTGTGCA